ACACACACACACACACACACACACACACACACACACACACACACACACACACAGACACTGGCCTCAATGCTAAAAGTTCATCCAGATTATAAAATCCTCCTCCCCTCCTCCCCTCCATGTCGATTTTGTTTTAGAACAATACTTTGAGATTCAGCTTGAATTTAGTTTTGTGAGTTTTCTGGATTATCGTGTTCACAGAACATTTGGATGAACAATAATTACTCCAGTTATGTTTCTATATTTTTTTTATGGAGTAACTGGAAACTTGGATCAGTTCAGATCTGTGTGTGTTTGATAAGTTGAGCTCGTAGCGCTGCTCTGAAACTCGCTCGCTCCACGTTCAGTATCTCAACCTGTCGACTCAGCGTATTTCACTGAACTCACGTCTGCAGAGAGTAAATGTTGCACAGTTCCCTTTGTCCAGTGAATTTCAGTGAGCTGGATGTTAAAGCCTTCAGATGTCAGAGTCACATGTTCACTGCGTTCATTCAAAGCAACAACAGACGTTATTATCAGAGTTTATCTCCAATATTCAGCGGGAAACTGGTGAAACATTTTCTGAGGTTTTCACTGATTTCCCAGAGAATAATTCATGGATCTTGATGAAAAGTCAGACGTGTTGAAAGACTGATTTCTATGAGCGAGTGAAATGTGTTGCAGCTTGATTGAATTTAAAGGGTTGGGTCTTGGCGGAGGTATGAGCTCTGCTGAGGACGCTGGAGTTGCTGTTTGGAGCTGGACCGAGATTTGCTGTAAAGATCCTGTTAAGTAGAATCAACCTGAAGAAGCTGATCAGCTTCCATCGCAGACTCTGTTCAGTTCTTTCACATCTTGGCTGAACGTTGAGCTCAGCTGAGGTCGGAGAAGCAGGGAGAGAAAGTGGAAAAGCAAAATGCTTTAACCAGAAAAATGTTCTAATGAAAGATCTGCAGGCCAGAAAGCAGGAGGCAGACTCAGGTCACAAGTTCAGAACATTTCTGTGACTTCACCGAGGAGCTGAGCAGCCAAACCTCAGTCGTCCACTGAGGAAAAACTAAAACCTGTGCTGAACTCTTTCAGTCATTACACATCCTGAGTGAGGAAGGTCCCTGAACGCATCGTCTGACCATCTCCTTCATTTGTCAAAGACAAACCAGAAAATGTCCGGACACTATTTTTTCAGGACATTTTCTGGAGTTCACGTCTGAAAACAGCTTTCGACAGTTAAACATGTTGAATCCCTGAAGCTTCAGACACGTGGCGTCCACAGGAGTTTTACAGAACCAGATCTTTTCTCAGTTGATTGTTAATGTTTTGCATCAATGAGTCTCTGTGAGAGTTTCATGTTCGTGAAACGAGGCTTTAACTTCCAGAACCAGCGGGTGTCCGGAATTATTCTTTCCCTTTACAACTCCATGGTATGCTTCAGTGAGTGATGCATCATGGGAGCTGACGAGCGTCTCCTACACAGGCCAAGTCTCAAATGTTAGTTAACCGCTGCCCACAGACAGTGTTTCCACCACAATGTCCAAAAATGGAAAAACATGCTCGAAACCTGAACTCAAGTATAATTATAGTTTATGTTTCCTTGTAGAAAAAGTTGTGAGTAACTCAAACTGTTCCCGGTGTCACGCCTGTGTTCAGGTACTGGCTGCAGTCCGGACCTGCTCTTCTTCCTGTGTGCCATGTACGCTCCCATCTGCACCATCGACTTCCAGCACGAGCCCATCAAACCCTGCAAGGCGGTGTGCGAGCGCGCCAAGACCGGCTGCGAGCCGGTGATGAAGCGTTACAACCACAGCTGGCCCGACAGCCTGGCCTGCAGCGAGCTGCCGCTGTACGACCGCGGCGTCTGCATCTCACCTGAGGCCATCGTCAAGGCCGAGGGTCCAGGTGATGTCACCCTTTAAACTCTTACAATGAATGATGAGTTTTCAATATGTGTCCATATGTTTTTTACCTGTAAAACTTCAAATAAATGAAATCTTAAAAGTTTTAAAATTCATATATGCGTTTGACAAATTGACTTATTCTCAGATTTAATAAGAATAATAAATAGAAAGTTCTCTCCTGTAAAAGCGAGAGCTTCACTTCTGTCCTGGAGAACACGGAGCATCAGGAAACTGCTTCCTCTGCTCGGCTGCAGCTCCATCAGTGTTTTCTGTCGTGTTTCTCCTCTCAGCTTGTTTCTGCTCCCGCTCCAACAGATAGCATGAGTCATTTCCCCTCCGACTTCACTCCCAGCCACTTTCTCAAAGAGCTCCTTGATTCAGGCGGCCCACTCGTCCTACACTCAATAAAACCCTCACTGTCCTCTGCTTCTTTGAACAGACCCTGCACCAGCGAGTTTAGAAAAAGTCTAAACCTCATCAGAATCCTCTCGACCTCCGTAATGACACACCCACGTACATATCTGCGAGCTGCCCGAGCTCGACCGGGCTCAGCGGGGTTTGGGGATTTTCCCTCGGTGTGAGTTGTTGATTCGCTGAGGTTCGGTCAGGGTGGATGGTTGAAGTCGTTCCTGTGATTTTCAGCAGGACGCCAGACCGAATGTTGCTTTAAGACATTTGTCTCCTGTTGGAACATAAATCTGAAGCAGCCCCAGTTTGTCTCTGCTGCTAAAAGTTCAGTGAACGTCACACCAGCACGGGACGGAGCCAGAAGAATCTGTGAAAGCTTCTGTGGGGCTTGTTTCATGTCACATAGTGCGATGAACGTAAATAAAACCTCGCTCACACCTGAAAGTACGGATCACTTAGGAGAGTCGTGTAAAAGCAGCTGTGTACAAAGAGTGAAGCTGTCATGGAATCCATCTTTATTTACAGTCGTTGTTCCAAACTAAACAACATCGTCAGTCGAGACCAGAGGAAGAAGGAAACACTCAGCTCGTAGAAGTAATAACATCTTCCATCCCTCTTCTGTCTCTGGTTGTTTCTGTGTCTCAGTGAGACTCTTTCAGAACCCTGTCTTCTGCATCATTTCATTCCTGTGGCCGTTCTTATTTCTGCTGCGTCCATGAACCCTTTAGATTTAATGAACATCCGACCTTCCCTCTCAGGACCTGGTCGTGGTCGCTGCAGACTCAAAACTTCTTTGTTCAATGTTTCCAGATGGAATGTACAGTACAATCCCTCCAGTGTATTCTGGGTCGCCCCCCCCACCCCCCAAAAAACTGTATGAACTGTAGAAACAAGGGGGGGGGGGTTCTGTCTGAATTCTGTGACGACGTTGATCGGTGCTTCTCTGTGTCTCTGCAGATCCGTACTACCAGGACCCAGCCAGGTGTAACCCAGGTCTGACCTTTGACCTCCTCTCATCGTCTTTGGAAACAAGTTTTCTCACCAAAATGTTTTTGTGCATCTGAAAAAACCAAACGTCCAGAAAACCAGTTCACTGAAAAAATCTCATCTTGTGTGTTTGGTCCTCAGAATCCAGTCCAGACTTTCCGATGGACTCCAACAACCTCCACTGCAGAGGACCAAACAGAGGTGACCTGTCCGTCCTCCTGTCCGTCCTCCTGTCCATCCTCCTGTCCGTCCTCCTGTCTGTAGCTCGTCCTGTTGTATGATTAAGAGTTTTTATTTTGTAAATAACGTTCAGATCAACGTCCATTCATCACAAATAACTCGCAGCATGTTTCCTGTTGAGGTTGTTGATTTGTCTAATCACCTCCAGAAGTTCCCCCCCATCGCACGACAGCTCCTCCCCTTCCTGCTGCTTCGTCTCGCTCACTTTTTAAATGCATCACTTAAAGAGACACGTGACTCTTTGACCGATTAGCTCAGACGTAGGCGAAGGTTCTGTTGTGTCCACATGAATAAAAAAGAAATAAAAATAGACCAGGGAGCTGGAGCGAGTGAGTCACAGCAGCACGACTTCCCCGATAGCCTCCGTGAACCGGACTGTCTCAGCTCGGTTCAGCCTTCACGGCCCACAAAGGCCGCGTCCTCCGAAGGACGCTGCCCCTGAATCGAGACCCAGCTTATGTAACAGTTTCCTGTGTTTTGCTGCAGATCGCTGCAAATGTAAAAGCGTCCGAATGGCTCTGAAAACCTACCTGAAGAACAACTACAACTACGGTGAGTCGTCTTTTAAATTCAAGACTTGAGACGCCTGAATTATGGTCTGTCCTGAGTCACATGCAGGAGCCGATGTTTCTATGAAGAAGGGTAGAGATGTAGAAAGTATGTGCGTCTCTCCCTCAGTGATCAGGGCCAGGGTGCGGGAGGTGAGGAATCGTGGTCTGGAGCCCACAGCGGTGGTGGAGGTGAAGGAGGTGCTCAAGTCTTCTTTGGTCAACATTCCCAAAGAGGCGCAGACGCTCTACTACTCGTCCTCCTGCCTGTGTCCTCCTCTGACTCCCGGGGAGGAGTACCTCATTATGGGCTATGAGAACGAGGAGACGTCCAGGTATGAGCAGCTTGAACAAAAAGAAGAACTGAGATACAAGTAGATGCAAGTCCAGCTGATGGAAAAGACTTTTAAACTTCGACTTGATGCTGTGTCCGACCGGTGTTCCTCCAGTTAGTCTCTCTGATCCCACTCCTCAGCTCCCGGGTCGTTCCAGCGATAAACAAGATTCATTTAAACTTTCTGAGACTCTTCATTCAGGACCAAAACTGTGAAGAAGTACAGACCAGCTGGCAGACGTGGTCACACACAGACTGACAATGCAACTCATTCCTACATTTATAATAAATGTAATTTAAGACATTTACAACTTATTCAAACCAGCAGCTATTATTATTTTATTTTTCTCATTAAACTCCTCCCTCTGTGGTCGCAGGTTGCTTCTGATTGACAGCTCCATCGCTCAGAGGTGGAGGGACAAAATGAGCAAGAAGGTCAAGGTGCGATTCTCTCACACACACACACACACACACACACACACACACACACAC